GGGGGGGAAGTGTGTGCGCGTGCGTTTGCGCGCTCGGGGGCGCGCGGCGGGGGCGAGGACCCGGGCCGGGGCGCTCCGGTGGGAATCAAGAGGTGAAAGGTCGCCGGTCCCCGGCAACACGGCTCAGGCAAACGTAAGCGGCTTGTCGCAGAAACCAAGGGGTCCACGAAACGCGCTAGGCTGGAAGGCGGGAAGGAGAAGTTACTGACAGCCGCGCCARCCAATAAAACGGAAATGTGGGAAAGGTTCTTCAGGCCCCTTCCCAATCAGGACRCTTGGGTGGTGAGGGGAGCGAAGGCGTGGGATGGGACCTTGGTCCAGCTGGGACTGGAGTGGCGACAATTTTGGCTGGTCTGAGAAGGGCATTTGAGTGACCGTTTACAACCGGTGGGACAGCGTCCAGTCTGGGGTTAGAACCCGAACTGTATTCTTCCAGGACTTCTAGCTAGGTGTGTTAGTTTTTATTTTTAAGAGTTAGGTAAAAGACATTAGTTAACATCTGATAGGCGACTTTCAACCGGGAGATTTATCATAGAGGATTTCTTAAATCGCAGTATGTGACACCGTCAGGGGACTTATAGTGTCACTCGCCGCCTTAAATCCTTTCGGTAACAAGCCAGGATATAAATAAATAAAGCTAGATGTGGGTCTCCACAAAGCTCTGGTAGGCAGGCTTAATACAGGCAACAGCTGAGTGTGCACACAAAACTAAACATTGAACGAAATATGAATGTAGGAATAAAATTCATGACGATGTGCACAGTCTTGGATTTCACAGATCTTGGATCTATCAGGAACCTGTACCTCAACCCTAAAACACCCGGGGAGGGGGAATCTAAAGTAGCTGGAATAAACTCTTAGAGGTCCTTGGAAATTATCTAAATCAAGTCCTTCATTTTACAGATGAGTAAACTGACTCCTGAAGTATTTTGTTCAAGGTCATTCATCAAGTTAGTAGTTTTAATTAACTCAGTGTGATGGGAAGCAGGGAAAAGCAGTGGGAAAACCTGGTCTTCAGAGGCTGAAATCGTGGTTTCGGGTCCTTGCAAACTATTCTCATACTGTATCTTGGGCAAATTCCTTATCGCGTTCCCATTTATTAAATTCTTACCATGTGGCAAGCAATCCACTTTACATACTCTATCCATTACAATACAGTATATCATTTATTATTAGTATCCCCATTTTATGAGGCAGATTCGGCTTAAAGATATTAGTAATCTACTCAAAGGCACACAGTTATAAACATCATCGTAATAATTCAAACTCAGCTCTTCCAGATTCCATGTCCTGTCATCTTGAATACTGCAAGGCACTAGAGCTTCAGTTTCTTCCCCACATAAAGCAGGAACTCCAACTCCAATCCCCATGATTTGTAGAAGTCAAAAKAGAAATATGTATGTGGTGAAGTGATCTAAACTGTAAAAAGATAAACATACTAGATTTCTGGAATGAATATGCTTGCTACTCTAGTACTTCAACCTGAAAGATGACTGAACTAGCATAAGGAGGGACTTCATTATAATTATATGGTAGGATTATATATATAGGATATATATATCCTAACAAATATTACATGCATGTCTCAGGCAATAACCAAAGAGAAAGGGGGGGCMAGGGGGATGTTAATTCCTGATAGATTGCAAAGGGAATGGGAAAAAAATACTAATCATACTCAGTATCCTTTAGTGGAAAAAACAGCTAGGAAATATTGGGATTCCTGGTGCCTTTTAAGTAATGAAAGAGAGCAATCTGCTGAATGAAGAACAGAATAACGTTTAGTTTGGGAGGACAAGTTCACCTGGACTATGAGAAAAACATTTGCCTCAATTAAGAAGATCTGCTACGAAGACCTGGGATAAAGGGAAAGCAGGTGAGTTAGTGCATAATTGTGCATATTCCAAAGCCAGGAAYTTCAATCTGACATATAATGTTGTAAACCATGATATAGCCTTCATGACCAAAAGAAAGAGGATTTATTTACACACAAAATTGGGTAAAGAAGGGAGGTTGGATAAGAATAAAAACAGAAATATGTGGTAGTCAAGATAATAAAAGGCTAATGCCAAAAACAGTGCAATCAAAGTGTTCTATGTATTACAAAAATTCATGAAGACATTTTAAATGAAAAAAAAATAAGAAAGGGCTGGCATCTGGCCCTAGATTGTTTTGAAAGAATAACATACAAGGAACAAAGACAATTGAAAGACAAAGATAACTCAAAAATATATTGCATTAAAGCTCAGGCATAGTATTCAGTAGAGTTTAGTTCTGAATTGTGAAAAGACTGAGTTTGAAATTGTAAAATCACAAGTCACTGTATTTCTATGGTATTTATTTGACCCTATTTCTTTAATATTTAAACAGTACCTACCACTCCAAGGAGCTCAGTAGCAGAGAACAGCATTTTTAATGTGAATGGAACATTTAATAGTACCTAGCTATGATATGACAGGAATTAGACTCTCCCAAGACATGATCAGACATCTAAAGGAGTAGTCTATGAATCACTTTGGTCAATGAAAGTTGTCATAAACTACATATTAGTTAAACTTATATTCCTTACTATGTTTTGTTGTTTTCTTTAAAAATTATGATTCTATATTATTATTAGTACCTGTACCTCTGCAATTCTCAGAAGATGTAAAATAGATATTTTACCTATTGTCTGTTTAATCAGATAACAAATAAAAGAACAGCACTCACCAGTCTGTTAATATTCATTGTGATGTACCTTTAATAAACTGAAGGCACTTTTCAAAAATATAATAGAAGAACTTAGCCTTTTAATTCTCCGAAACGAAATAAACTTTTATTTTTAATTAACTCAGCAATTGAAACCTGCTAATTTAATATTTTCTAAAACCATAAGACACTCTATAACTTGTGTGTCTTTCGTTGCTAATTAAGTTATAAACATAAGCAACTCTGGTAGAAAATATTATTGTAAAGAACAAAATCTCCATTCTTTATTGACTTCCATCGACGATCCTTTCCCTTTTTGTTTTTGGCTGACATAGGGACATAAAATAATCTATTTTCAGTAGCAATGATTAGCTTCCATGAGATATTCCTAAACCCATTTAGGGATAGGTATTTCTAAACCCACAGATTAGGAATATTCCACAAATATTCCTAAACCCACTTATTTTTCAAGCTCCTGCCTTTCCTACAATCCTGTTATTGATGAACGTAAATTCTCTACCTGGATGTTTCTTCAGATGAAGCTTTGGAAAATATTTCCTGAATTTGTGTCCCATCAGAAGTACACCCAGAATTGAGGATTCTAGTGCAAGTAGACTATTTTGTAAGTGATTTCAGGAAGCATAGTAGGGGCATGGCAATCTAAGACAGAGAAGGGCAGGAAGGCAATAAAGGATGAATTACTGAGCAGTAATGTGATTTCAAGAGGCATAGTAGGGACACGGGAATCTTAAGACAGGAAAGGACAGAAAGGCAATAAAGGGTGAATTACTGAGCAGGTTATCACCATGAGTAAACGGAGCTTAATATCTCTGGGATTTCTAGGGAACCAGATTAAGACACTAGGTTTAAAACAATCCCACAAAGTGTGAGCAAGCTGAGGTATATATACACTAACTCCCCTTAACCATTGAGCAAGATCCATTCCTAGGATAATTAGTTCAATACATGTCGGCCAGTCTTCCCACTACCAGTGCTGCATTTTTTTTTTTTCTGAGTACTTTCATATAGTGGCTGCAGTTGGCTTTATCCTTCACTGAACAGAAATGCTGTGGAATTAATACACCCAATGGTGGGATACCCCCTCCCACCCCACCCCCAATCCTATTGTTGAGGAAAATCAGGCCAATGTGCACTAAAATAGTAGATAGGACAAGGAGATTTGGGTGGGCATGACTGCCTTGTTAAAAATATCAAAATAAATTTTGAATAAAGGAAAATAAGAAGACTATCTCTTACTACAAGGTATTGTTGAGAAAAAAAAGAGTTATGAAAGAATTTAGAAAACTTGAAGTCCTAAAAACTGAAAGTTTTATACTTTCCACAATCCAAATATTAAAACAAAACAAAGGCCTAAATAWTTTTTTCTTTGTGTGTTTTTTCTATGCACATTTTTTTTCTCAAGGGACAAAGCATGAGAATTCAATGTATGTGGTCTGGATTTTTCATTCAATGARGCACAAAGGAAATAGGAGCAAATATATATCAAAAGAGTATAACATCTATCCTAGGTCTTTTATAACAAGTCATACAAATAGACCTGTTGGCTAGAAGTACTTTAAGATTACACTACTTTGAAAATGAGTTATTGAACTTTATCCTATAAAAGACTCAAATAGCATTTAGGTATTTAATGGCATAAATTCACTCTTTGGTAGACGAGTTTATGAAACAATCTATGGAAGCTCACAC